TGACGACCACCTATTAAATCTAGGAGCGAAAGTTGACGGAAGAAACGTCGGTGGCATCCGATTCCGAGTCCATCATCGGACCGAACATCTGGTCGATTCAGCCGATATATTCGCCCCACGACTGGGCTTTCCGCAACTAAGCATCGACAAGCGCACCACTTACCACTCAGCCGCAACATTAATAACCACTTTGCGTCAACGTCAACTGCAAGCGACGGAGAAAAGGAGGCCTTAAATAGGAAACTGGAGGAGGTTGCAAAGAACGAGCGTTCATACTACAATCTGGAGGCTTCAACGCAGTCACTCACAAGGAAAGAGTACAGCGCGCACTGGAACATACAGAATCGGAGAAACGAAGGGAAACGGAGAGCGTCTTGTGAACTTTTCAGAGTAGTGCAACATATTTCGGAAGCAGTCTCTTTGTGATAAATGTGGTCCGACGTTGGACATGATGAGCCCTGATGCAGCGACTGCAGTGAAACTTTCTCATCAGCAAACGTTGGAGCCTGTTAGACATCAGGGAGGTAGATGCATTCCGTACCGGAAGCGACTGTAAGCTCTTCAGTACCAAATTCCGCCTAGGGCTGAGCTTCGAGAAGGGATCACTTTCGACATGCTCCCATACGAGCGATGGAAGTGGTCGCTGGAAATGGCAGGAGGCACAGAACGTGTACAAGATTACGACTTACTTGTGGGGAGGACTTTTACACTGCGCTTCGGCTGTGTCACGAAAATTGGACTGAGCAGGATGGATGAAAATGCTTGGAGACTCCTACAACAGCGGAGTACCGTTTGCCGTAAAAGCATCCACACTGCTGGAACGTGGTTTCCAACAAAGCGTGCCGCATTGTTGTGAGAAAGTCGATACAGTGATGCAAAGACATTCAATTGTTGAAAACGGCGAGAGGCGAGAGCTAGCCGGACATTGGTGACTCCCGCTTGGTCCTCACGATCATGATCATGATGGACGCGTTGGACAGACCGCAAACATCGAGAACGAAGATTGAGTAGGTTGCGGTCACCTACTACATGAATTCCTTCCACTCGGCAATACCGGGCTCTCGTATTCCTACGCCAACACAGGAGGTACCTCGCGGTTAGAAGAATTTGAAAGAGCAACCCATACGTCAAATGAAGCCGAGGGGCACCAGAATCGGGTCAGATCTCGTAGACTTTTGGAAGCCGGCGTCCTACACTGTCATCAAGTAGCTTACAAGCGCGCAGAGGAGTCTGAACCACTGGAAGTAGTCAAATACGATTCTAACCGTATTTGACAGCATCCAGAGCGCGGTCGAATAAAGATTCACCTTCCCATCGCGCATCACACTCGAATGGCNAGAGGCGCCAGATTCGGGTCAGATCTCATAGACTTTTGGAAGCATCACACGTTCTACACTGTCATCAAGTAGCTTACAAGCGCGCAGAGGATTCCGAAAAACTGGAAGTTGTCAAATACGATTCTAACCGTATTTGACAGCATCCAGAGCGCGGTCGAATAAAGATTCACCTTCCCATCGCGCATCACACTCGAATGGCAAATGAACAGTCATTGCCAATCAGTCGAACAAGGCGGTACACGCAAGGGCTTCTATTGTTTAGATCATATTCGCATCATTACGCAGCTGATAGAGCGGACCGAGGAATACAAATAACTACTCCTTCTCTGCTTTATAGACTATGTGAAAGCATTCGACAGTGTGGAGCTCAACTATGTCTAAACCGCATTGCACCATGCAGGAGTCGACCCATGTTACACCAACCTGTTGGAACAATGCAATACAGGCATATTTACCACCATCCGCATGTTCCAACGAGAGCTGCGCGTGCCGATCGAGAAATGAGTCAGACAGGATGACACGATAACCTCTAAACTATTCAGCACCGCACTCAACCACACGATGCTTGGACGATAGTGGCCTCAAAGTTGACGGCAAAAAATTACCCAACCGCGCTCCGCAGACGATATCGTCCTCATCAGCCAAAACCGAGAGGAGCTGCAGCAGATTGTGAAGGAGCTGAACTTTGTCAGCAAAGCCTCGTGATGAACAGCAAAGCAAGACAATGGTCATGCGAAACGAATAAGTGGATGCGTCACCCATCACCGTCAAAGCTCACAACCGTTCACCGACTGCTATGTGTACTTCGGCCTACTAATCTCCACGGACCCTTGCTGAGCATTAACCACACAGTGCAGAGAGGTCTCAGCCTCCGTAGCACAGATGCGTTCAGTATCCGGCATTCGTGACGCGAAAGTGTAAACGTGAAGCGCAAAGAAGCGATGGACGGGACACGTGGTCAGACGAAAGGACGGCCTGTGGACCACTCGCGTTACATTCTGGTTCTGTGAGGCTAAGCACCCACTTGATCTCCTGCAACGGAATGAAGTGACTCCACGAAGAAATTGCAAAGAAACGCTGACCAGCATTAATCCCAAACCGCTCAAGGTCGTCAAAAACGGAGGGAAGTGCGAACTCGTCGCTGAGGATTACAGTGGGCAACGAGCGTCCAAGTACCCAAGTAAGCAAGATGCTGGTGTTAGATTGCATCATCTTGCAGATCAGCTCTAAAAATGCTCAGTTATATTGCGAGGGTGAATTTATCAGAGGTGAATAGAATACATGCTGTTATTTAGATTTGGAGCGTAGTTCATTGAGCGTCAGTGCGCCATGGCTCTAAGATACCGTATGACAACAATTCGCAGCGACTATCACTTTGTTTTAGCGTCGAGATTCACGAAGTGCAGCTTCCTTCATCTTGTTGCTGCTAATCTATTATAGACAACTGAACGTTTAACGGCTTGCTGTCTGACCGATGTGGCTGTGTAGAAAATTAACACTTCCGATACTTTTGTAATTCCACTTAACACTGGCAACAAACGCACATGAGTGAGGAGTGCACACGAAATTTGTCGGGTGTGTGCGTGCATTTGTTTTGCCGGAAGTTTATATCTCATGTTCAGCGTTCAAATTTTGGAGGGTCCTCGGAACAGAAGAATTTTAAGATACTCGACCGGGCGCGCATTCACTCCGAGTGCTTTTAAAAAGAACTTGGAACTCTGTTCAATAGACCAAAATTAAAGTAATGGTTAAGGGCTATAAAAGGAAAAAGGCCAAACCTTCGAAGTTGCTTGGTTAAGTTCAGAATTTTATAATCCCATTCAAAGACGTTCTACAACCCTGAAAACTCATTGAGAGCTTACGAAAATAATGTGGGCAAATTCTTGTAACGGCCTGAGCTTGCACAAAGGCTGTGTCGGCTACGCTTTCAAACAATTTCTAGAGACCCATACAATAACCCCGACCATTTGAACTCTGGAGACTATGAGACATATGCTCCCATATCCAGGGCAGCTATTCAGGCAGGCGTACACCCATCAAATGAATTGCAATGTCTATCATTAAGTTTGAATACATCATTCTTGTTAAGGAACTTCCAGTAAACTTTCATGGTCTTATCACTAATAAAACAGGCCCACACTGGAACGAAGGGTCTCCTGAAATGTTTATATGTTTCACTTTCTCAAAATTAGCGCTATTGTCTCATACAGTAATAGCATCTCGAGTTTGAGCTTGTCGTCTTCTAACGTCAGAATAACGCGCACACACTGTGGATGAGGAAGAAGTTTTGGAAAGTCTAAATGTTTCATTTTCCGAGAGTTAGCTGTTAGATCTTGCACAGTAACGCCATCACATAGACTCCATCCACTAGATGCATACGCACAGATTAAAGTATGATACATTGCAATTTTACAGCCTGAAAGTGGTTTGGCCAAGGGCCGTATCATTTGAGATTAAGGGAAAATTGTCCATGGTATTGAGATGGAACTCTTTGATGATCTATAAGTAACAGTCTGAATAGGGCACAATTTCCATATTGAGGCCTTGCTTGTAGGGCCCTTGAACGTGAGTTTTGATGAAACTCATCGGTGGCTGTATCATTATGCAAAGCAATGTATTAGGATGATCAGGATATCGATACCGCTGAGCAAAGTAATTCGCACTTGTATTGAGTTAACAGTCAACGGCCAGTATATTTTCTTTGTAATGCAAAAGCTCCCTGAAACGATACGACCGCATGGAACTCCTTCACGTCATGATAACTCTATAACGAAAACACGTCGACCGGAGCTGTTGCCTTCTTTTGCATGTATTGTCTTTGATCGTGATTTTATAGTTAAAGGCACAGTTCACGATAAAAATGGTTTCTGAGATTTTCCCACAAAATGAATTTCATGTCACCTCGTATACCATATCGTATACTCTATTAGGTCGGAAAACGGCCTAGTTAGGGAGTTATAAAGGCTCGAAGATTGTCCCGTGTGTATCTCGGACGAGTTTCATTGGCATTGTAGAGGCTGCACCGATCACAAGGGAACCCATTTAGGAAGTTCAAACAACTTGTCATGACCCTTACCAACAGTGAAAGGCAGTTTGCACAGTTCTGGCTTGATGTAGTCAGCTCTTTGCGCAATTGCAATAACTGAAATCTCGTCCGAATACCCCTTCCATGTTATTTCCGCCATGGTAATCCCGTCAAATCTATATTTTTCCTACTTTTGGGGAGCCTTACTTTTCTCGAAATCGGCGAATTCTATCGCTTTCTTCACTACTGTTGAACTATTCCCGACCTATACTTCCGCTTTTCGACTAAAAAAGGGTACCTCAAATTTATCGTGAACTGTGCCTTTAAAGAACGCACTGCATGTTTATGCTCATTATCATTAACAGTGACAGCGGTTTTCTGCATCAGTTTGGCAGTAATCCTTCAGATTACAGCACCTCTACTAACTTTCGATCTACAAGTAACAATTACCTGTCACAAGGAAGTCTGAGGGCGGAAGAACAGAAAACTTTCAACTTGCTTTAATACCGTACTTTTTAGAGGAGTCTTGTGTGTTCGATAAGGAGAAGGAGTTGAGCGATATAGTTTCTTTATTCCAGTTGAATTGTCAGGATCATAATGCGAGTAGAATCAAGAGCATCATATAGATTTTTAATTAATTAGAGACGTATTTGGGCACGGATATGTTGAAGATGATATCCGTAAGTGTTGTTTGCCACGCACTCGTATTCACCGGCATCTCGCATTCGGGCTGGATCAATGTCCAAATGAGAAGCGATCGAATTGTTACTGACTTGATTGCGAATCTGAAAAAGCATGATCAAGCCAGCAACTTCACCTTGAGATTGAAGAAAGGGTTTTTGAATCATTTCTTCAATTTGGGTGTCTAGAAGTATATGAGATGCAAAAGGTACAAGCTTCGACAAGGGAAAAGAAAACGTGAAAAGAATATTGCTGAATAATGAGATCCAGGGAGTCTCGCTAGAGAGATAGAAATCTAGCCAAATGTTGCCTCCCTTTCTGGGAATTTTAGACAAAATCACGATATCCACAAAGTCTAAGGTGCCTGAAGGTGGCAAAAAAGACTGAATCATTGGCATAGCCTATTCTTGGGGTTTCGCTTCAGTTTCTAATGAAAGCCATAACTCTTGAGTGAATGAAACTCGTATATCTCCGTGAAGGTAGAATATTTTTCAACACTTCCTAAAGCGCCTAGGTGAAATAAATAAAGCTGTGTTGAGCTACTCGTTAAAGGGAGGTGGGTTCGGAGTTGAGTGACTACAGATAAAGATGAAGGTGATAATGGTCTGGTACCGAGAGTTTGAGGGGCCTAACAGGGAGTACACTAACGAGTGGAATGCCTCTCTCTCTTGGGTTTTATGGAGCAGTTGAAAAAGCCCTCCAAAATTGGTGAGCCGCAACGGCGTGATTTTATGGTACATATGACGAGGCCAGAGCGCATACATTTATGGTGACTCGACAAAATTATAGGCGNCTGAATACGGTGTAAAAACAGTGAAGGAAATAATTTAATTTGCCAATTTCACTATATAGTGAAAATGACGAAATGAATTATTCCCGAAGAAGAAACGTAATTTCAAAAAATCATTTNCAGAGCGCATACATTTATGGTGACTCGACAAAATTATAGGCGCCTGACTGGGAATAAATAAGAAAACTCTCGCTGAAGATGATGATTTCAAATCTTTTGTGGTCCAGTTTTTTTTTTGTCAAAAAACCCGAAGTTCTAAGAGAGAGTGGCTACGAAATTATCAGAGAAATGGCAAGAGATAATCAATCGAACAAAGTAGGGTGTATATCATTCGTTGAGGTCTGTCCAAATTAGGATAAAAGGAAAAATATCATGTAATTCTCCAAAATTGTATTAATTACTTTACGAACGATCTATTACCAGCAATTTGAGCTTAAGAGCTCCAAACTCTTGCCAAACATCCCATGCGACCATGAAATACCGGTAGGAATAACGCATTGAATACGGTGTAAAAACAGTGAAGGAAATAATTTAATTTGCCAATTTCACTATATAGTGAAAATGACGAAATGAATTATTCCCGAAGAAGAAAAGTAACTTCAAAAAAAATTATTTTAAAGGAACAGTACCCGAATTTCGCCTCGCCCTGGGATTTCAACGCCATCCTTGTACCATCGCAGATCCGGTAAGGGATTTCCGTGGGCTTCGCAAAACAATTTCAATTTGTATCCTAATCGGAAGTTTTGCATGAAGAAACTGTGGCGAACAATTCGCGGACCCTGAAATACAAGCACTGCAATCTTTCATGCACAGCTTTCTATGAACTTCAGCCCAGTTCAATTTTTGATTATTTCGAAATACTGCCATCTCTGAGCTTCATTCAAACCTGTTCTCCTCGTTTTTCATGTGTTTTCCAAGTTGTTGCAACTTCTTTATACTGATTTATTTTCGGCGTATAATGCCTTCTTCAGACCTTAACTTTACAATGCATGATTGCAAACCGCTCTTTCACTGAGGCGAAAGAGCGTTATCATTCAATCATTCTGGGGAGGTCACACATCTCCCAATTTTCGTTGATTGCTTGATGCAGTACACCTTTGTGAAAAGTTCAAGAAAACATAACCTCAGTAATACTGCAATCTATTTCCATTTGATTTTTCTCCTTGCCTAGCCACTGCTGATAATCAATCTCGAGAGGGATTCCAGGTAGTGGCGTCTGTAGGGCAATTACTGTGCAATTATAGTAGGTTCAAATATGTTATACATCTCGTTATTATCTCATTATTACTAGCGGATCTTCTTGTAAGGTAAGCAGACCCATCTCAAAAGAACTATCCATGAGCGACAGGACCTTTCAGGAGGAGGGAAGGGAGGTTGGTTAGCAGCGAAGAACTGCGCTAAATTCACTTTGTAGCTCGAAAGAGCCCTGTCCCTTAACAAAGCAAACTAACAAACTAAACTGACCATTAAACCAAGGTCCTATAAGAATTCAGCTCAATCTAAGTCGAAGACAACATCCCACGCGTAACATTCGACTCTTGGATTTAATTTTTCGCTTTCAAATATGTATGGCATGAGAATCGAAAAAAACGTTCTGGCTATTTAGTGGCTGTTCGTAATTTGAGCGTGGCAGCTGAATCTGGATAGAAATATCCGCGATGGAATAAAAACTTTCCCGATAAAGTTTCACGAGACCTGTCACCCACGAAAACGAGCTAGGAGTCTCCATAGCCAGCCTAGCAAAACGTTTTGCTCATGGCTTCATGAGGCAAGCTCGGCATCTCAAAATCCTAGCTCTATCAAAAAATACCGACGCACCGGCATGACAGAAGTGATCAGATGAAAACCTTTCCAGGAAGGTATGCTTCAACCCTTGGGGATTTTGTTTCACCTTTCACTCCACCTCTGTACAGAAACTTTCGAAAATATATTGTTCGGAAGGAATTGGACGAGATTTCAATATGTGGTTCGAAGCGTTTGGGCAGTTCTTCACGTTCGAAAGATATTTTCCACATGTGTATCTTTGCATCAGAATGGATTTCAATTCTGCGAATGTGTTCCCTACTTAGTCCCGGAAAAAAAGCTTGCTCGAACGAAAACCTTGGCTTACCTCGTCAGTCTTTGAGTAATAGAGTTCATCTTCGTGTATATGATAGTAGTGATGAGCACTCGTGATACAGATTAGTAGAGGCACCAAAATGTAGTGCATTTAATTAGCTGAGCATTGAAGAGAAGGGGAATCTTCTGTAATCTTCTGTTTCGCTCATCACGAAATGAAAAAAAGTTGAAAACAGCGGTCATGAAAAACATGTAGAGAAAATTTTAACGAGTTTTGATGTTGATGAAGGCTCCCAGAAACACGACAAAGCATCAGGAAGGAATGAAGTGGGAACTATGCGAATTAACAGAAGGTGGGAAATATTTTCAACCGGGTAATTGACTTTTGATGAGTGTGTCCCCCAAAGTGTTAACCTTTACCCACCCCTGATGGCTGCTATTTCGATGGAATTGAAATTCTATGAAGGTCTATGAATTTGGCCTACATAAGTGGATCAGGCTAACTCATCCAGAATGGAAAGAGCACCATTTGGCAAATAAATCTTCGAATGGGCGTTGGATAGCCCATAGGCGATGAGGTGATTTCAAGCAGCAGAGCAGCCTCATTTCTGCAGAGCTAATCTAGTCTTCCCCTCCCCTCTTGCGTTGTCGTCAACGTTCCAAGTTGACTAACTGATTATTCGAGTGAGGGAATGAGATGCACGAGCTTGTTGGCTAAACATGCGGTCTTTCTAAAGGAGCTAGATTTTCTTTTAGGTGCACCTCTGATGTTTACATGACTTGAGGCTTCATCAAATATGGAAGTCAAGCAAGCCATCAAAAAACGTTTCTGTTTTTGTTTGTTCGTTTGTTGTTTTTGTTGTGTGAACAGGACTGATCATGGGATTAGCTTCAATAAATATTTCAGGGTCACCTAAAACAAGCGGATTAAGTAATGAAAATATCAAAAAAAAAAATTCAGAAAGCTCTCTTTCATTATGCAAGATCGACGCGATTGTTGCTTATTTGTCGTCACAACTTTCAAAAATTTTAAGTCATACCCTCGGGTTGTCTCTCATAGTACCGAAATTCCTGCTTATAGTGGCTGTATTCTTATCTTAAAGCTCTTTGGGCGGAGCAATTATTAGTTGTATCTGCCAGTTTTGGAGTTATCCTCTCCGAGGATATTGGCATTATAGGCTTTTATGACGAGATACTAGAAGGGAAGTCATTGACTGTTCTGCCTAGAACCCTAAGATTAACTCGAGAACTGGAGATCGCTAAAGAGCGAGGACGCTCATCCTCTTAGCAAGTCTTGAGCTGGGACGTGTCGTCAAGAAGAAGAAAAGAGGACATTCAATCAGCACAGTTCAAAACAGATTTGTATAATGAAATTTCTCACTAATTTGTGATTAAGGATTTAATCACTCGAGTTTTTCCCTCTTTTTTTTTTTTGAAGAGCATTTTAAAAAATCGTCAGATTTTGAAGGAGCTGAAAATTCAAAGTGGAAGGAGAGCAAGTACACGGAACAAAACAGCCTTCGCGTCGTCATTTTAGTCGTCGCCGTCTGTGAACATGGGATTATACTGGATCAAAGTCATGTGCCGAGAGTGCACCGCGAGAATGCCAAGCTTAACGGACTGGAATTTTGTTGGAGGATAGACATTACTCCGCATGGAATGGATGCTTATGGCTATGCTATACGAAATGAAAAATTATGACGATACAGAATGTAAATCAACTCGAAATCACCTTCATTGAGCATTATTTGTTATCTGGCCATTTGGAAATGCGCTGTGAACATCGGCTCATTTATGCAGTGATTCATTTTTATGACATGAAACTAAGAATTGTTCAAGGGTTCAGTGGGTTTGATTCAGGAATCCGCCATGAAACTGGCTTCGTTGTTCCTCGCTAGCCACCACAGAAGACAAGCAGATTTTTTAGTGGAGAAATCTAGGGTAAAATCAGTCGGGGTGACATGTTATAGCTGATGGCAGCCTTTTTCCACAAATCTCAAGCAAATGAAGGTAAAACAGTACAGATGAGATGACCCCTAATAAATAAGGGAAGGAATTAGAAGTGGGTAAAAATTAGAGCGAGATCTACATGAAAAAATATTATATTATAGAAAGAGAGGTAAAAAATGAAAAAAGCTGAATGCTCCTATTCGGTCGTCCCTGGCAGTTGGATTCACGCTCTGGAATTCCTTTGATGGAGAACTGACGATGGGCTATGTGAAAAAAGAAATGGGCAGCAGACTCTAATCTCCCTCCTACCCTGCTCATTCAACGTTCCCAACAAAGCACATGCGTCGATTCACCCATCATTAGTTCGCTATATTTTTCATACCTTATTTAAAACTGCTAAAGGGACCCATTTAATTTGGCATTTTTCTTTTCGCTTCAGTAGGGCACTGTAAAAGGCATCCACGGTACTAAATACGTAACTGTAATTCCTCTGGAAAAACGAATCCCTTCTGATCTCATCGAGTGGACATAGGCCCCATGTTATTTAGCTCGCTGACTGATCTGGTATTTCATTATTCCTCCAGCCCGGGCGTGGTGCAGTAGGAAAATTGTCGCGTCGCGGTGAGAGGGACGTCGCGCGCGAAGGAATGTAGCAGGATGCAGCAGTAGGTAAGCAATACAAGAACAAAAGTAGTAATAATAGAATTAGGCATAAAATAATGACGCATATCGATTGAGCTGTATGAAGAACGCTAGAGCTGTGATAACGGCGAATGAGTTGTCCGCGACAGCCGCGTGCGGCAAATCGATTACCCAAAATCGTTCCTAACGCTCGTCTCCCCTCCAGCCCTGTTTAGGACTTTTACTATGTAGGATGACATTATTCTGTGTTCTTCAGGGATATTGAGGAAAGCCTTCGAAAATCTTAATATTTCTGGCGAAAGTAAGGTTACCAGCTACAATTTCGAACATCGAGCTGCACTCAGATTATGGTTTGTGTGCTCTCTAACGTGGCTAACAGATATTTCAACTGAATTGGGCTTTTGGTGTTGTTAAACTGAGCTGGGAGGGTTTTATACGGTGTGTTACGCTTATATGGGAAGTCTCCTCCAAACATGGTGGCTATCCATCGTAATTGCTGAGTTCTTTCCATGCCGTCGTTTCTCTTGGGAGCAGTTACCAAGCGAAGTTAGATGAGTACCACGTCAAAATAATCAGCAAGAGCTGGCAAGTTCCCAGAAAACGTCTCGATGCTTGATTGACGTGACGGCTTGGGACAAGTAAAACTTCTGGGACTAATTCTCATCCATTCTCATTTTCAACATTAGATAAATGTTTGTACTTCAAGCGGATACGGCTACCCATTAGACATTCGGCCTCTTGTCATACCTGTTGACAAGGGAAAGTGATAAGTGGAGTGAAACATTTGCTCAATAAGAACTCAGTAAAAAGACTGGGGAAGTGCTAAGAACGTATCAAAACGTATACAGCGCTATGCAGAATTTATTATAAGACCTCGCTAAAAAATAATGACTCAAGCGACCACAAACCATCGTTTTCGCAACCAACATTATGAATACAAACAAAATGTGCTCACTACTTACTCAACGGTTTTGATGAACTCCCATAAAACCGATGGAATCATGGGACCTGTGCATGAGGAAACGGCTCGCTTCAATCTTCAGGGAAGCGTTCAATCCAGAAATCGACAGCTCACCAATTTGCTAAATAAAATCAATCGAACGATCAGGAATGCTGCTGTACAGTTTGTTGTTATCTGCATGTCGTTAGATGCGCATTCGTAGAGGATCTGATACATTGTGGAACTGTCGACCAAGTACATACACGAAATACTAATGGCCTGTAAATAGTAATGAAAATGCTGCAAAGAGGTTATCAGTGATGTTCAGAACTTTTTCCATGAAAGCCACAATGACGCATCCATGATGTTCATGGTGCCTTGTTAAGAAAGTAGTCGACATGAGGTCTCCGGCTATAGTGCGGTAGGGCAGAGGACATTCTGATAAAACTTTGGACAAGATCGACCGATACACTGCGCCGGCGAATCCACCTCCATCAGAGCCTGTAATGACAAAAATTTATTTGGATAACCCTCACTAAACATCTCAACACCCGAAAAAACCTTCGATATCGATTTAACATCTCATACTTCTGAGCCAATGAATGTACCGCACAATCCAGACTGTACGGGGGCGATGGCAACGACCGTCTAGAGTTCAAATCCCAATGTGAACCTTCCAACGGGCGCAGTTCAGTTCGTAATAAACGCGTGAAGTGCAAACTCCCTAATGCTGCCACGATCATGATTTCAAAAGCGACTCCTTCTCCGAAGAAGTTGACCGCTGGTGCCTAGTCTTCCTACTCAAACGCTCTTTAATCCGAAAATGAAGTGCTGTAGCTAATCCGCCTTCATACTCATCTCCAGAATTCTGGTAATA